CTTTTAGCCTGGGGCCCATCTTTCCACCCTATTGTTTCGCCACTGCTAATAATCATCTCTCAGACTTCTCGACCTACTTCGATGTAATGAAGGAACACTGCTTGGATGACTCAAAATCCCTTAAATTGCAAAAGTTCTCCTTCACATGAATTAGCGATAGGCAGTGTTCTCTATTCAGAGTAATTAAAAACACTGAAGTTTAATGAGAGCCACTCTGTTCAGAGGTGAATTTCTGGGAATTACATATAATCTCTTGAGACTGGAATATATATGAGAGTTAATTTGAAATGTTTCGAAAGGATTCTTTGGATGAAATGGGATGAATTCCTTTGTAAACTTTTGTGAACTGTATTTTTGTCAAAGATTGTGTCTTTTTATTTTTGTTAGGTAAGAACTCTCTGAAGGGTAGAATTCAGCTGAAAATCTGCAGAAACCTTTTGTATTCCAGCCAGAAGGAAGTGAATGATCTGGTTTTCAGTATTGATAATAGTCCAGTCCAGTGTATTGTATTCACAACTCGATTAGACTCTTAGTCATCAATCTAGATGATAATCTGAACTGGAAAGAACATTGATGAATTTTTTTGCAAACACTGTTTGAGTTTTTTTTATTATTTGTTTTTGTTTTACTTAAAGTGTGGAAAACCTGTAAACTGTAGATAGTCATTTTTTTTTCTCCTCAATCTGTTGTATATATTTTTCAAAATGACTGTACCAATACAATGTAAAATGTCTAATGGAAATGAATGAATGATGATGATGATTCTACTTCGTACGGAATGCGATGGTGTCTGTTCTGTCATTTTGAACGGATTAGAACTCATGTGAAATCATTAAGCAATTTTGGGAAGAACTGGATCCAACAGATTACTGCAAACTTACTGATGTAACCCTCTTGATAATCTCCTTAAGGATTTACATAATTTGATGATATGAGATACTTCAGGATGTTGATTCGTTAGAATGCATTCTATAGCTCTATATGCCAATCGAAACATCATTAAATTACGCTGAATTTCAAGAAGACCTAAATACTCTTTATGATTACTGTAAGTTCAATAGATTATTCATGAACATCAAGAAATGTCACCAGATTGTTTTTTCAAGAACCAACAATTGTCTATCGAGTGACCTTTTTATAAATAACGAAAAAATAACCACCGTGTGATGAGGTGCGCGACCTTGGAATCATCCTGGACAAAAAGTTGACATTTGACTCATATTTGGAGGAAACTGTTAGGAAATCCCTTCGCATGTTAGGATTCGATTTAAAAAATACGAAGGACTTTCGTAATCATGGATCCCTAATAACTGTCTATAAAACATTAGTGAGGCCGATATTGGAATACTGTACATATGGAACCCTGTTTATGAGAAATACGTGGCAAGAATTGAAAATGAAAAAAAGGTTTGAAATTTCATCTCTGTTGACAGGCGGGCTGATATGTCCTTACATATCAAGTTTTCGTAGACGACTAACGATTCTGATGAAACAAGTATTCGTAAGTATGAGTAAGATGACTCATTCACCACAATGAGGTGAATGAGTATGACGAAGATGGTTAATGAAGAAGGTATGCAACTCAAATTATGCTATTAAATGCCCAAGAGTCAAGAAGAAAACCGCTGATCCTGTCAAGGACTGAAACTATTTTTGGAATAGTGATTCTCGTAAGTCCGGAAAAAACTGTTTCTCTGGACGAGACTACGAGTCCAAAAAAACTGATTTTGGACGTGCTGCGTACACAAGTATTTCGGCAACCATGTAGAATAACAAATCAATGAGACACACATTTCTCTATTATATTCCTCTGTAGTATACAATTTTTTCTTCATTAATTCTCATTTGTCTCAAACACTGAAATTTGAACATGATTCCTATACCTACTAACTGTTACATTGGAAATTTTGGTATGGACATTTTCAAACTCACTATCGCAGCTGCTTCCGATAGTTCATTGTAATAATTGCAACCAAACTTTCACAAATCAAAATGTCAACTAATTCCATGTCGAATAGCTGTCAGCTCATATTTTGGTTGCCGAAAAAAGTTATTCGTCGTTGAACAACCAAAACTAACGTTTTAATTCTGTCGAAATAACTCACCAAATGAGTTTTGAGCTTCACCCAACCCATCTTCCGAGCACCTTGATTCTATAAATAATAAATCGACCCGACAATCCAAGTAGAAGAAGCTCTTCGTCCCGATCTAGCCTAACCTCAAAACTTGAAAGACGCGAGAACTTCTTTACCGATGATAAACTACGCGAGCGACACTTTAATACTTGAAAGGTACTCAAAACTATCACAGCATCGGTCTGGAATGTTGATTGGATCGTGAAAAATCGCGGTAGGTCTTGAATCGACCATCAGGAGCTATAGGACAACAAATTATCGATAATGCTAGTGCGCATTTCGAATGGCGCAACTTTATGCGCATTCAGCCTCAATTGGGTCGCAGTCTACACTGCCCAGCACTAGAAAGAAGAAATCAGGGTAAAACTGCGTTTATCATGCGATTTTTTTTTTTTTAGAAAATTTGTTTTGGTACTCACGTATTTCTCACAGGGTATAACATGAAGTTATAATCATGTTGAAGCCATCTAGTGGCAAAGCTCTAAGGTAGGATCCAGAGATCGCGACACACACTGTATGGTGCTGCCATCTTTAGTCACGCGTACAGACCACTACGTCTATACTACAGAGTGGTACTACAAGTATATCACTCTGCTGACAGATGGCACTACCTGACATACTTGAGTGGAATTTTTCCACCACCTATTCAACTGCTAGACGAGACGAATAGCCCTTTTTTTGGACAGAATTCAACAGTTTAAGGGTATGTTTGGGTGCTGCACTACAAATTTGGGAACATTATTCCAGGACAGGTCAGATCTGCGTCTTATAGATTATAAGCAGCTGACTGGAAGTGAAATAGCTCCTAGCCCGAAACAGAAAACCAAGTTTTTGGGATGCACAGAAAGGTTATTGCTGATAGTAATCCCAAGCATCGAAATGGATGTCTTCAAAGGTATGGTTACTCCTGACAAGCTCATGTTGGGCACAGTGTGATCGGCTTTTCTAGAGAAAAGGCATGCTTATGTTTTGTTTGCATTGAAATCTACCAGATTATTGGGTCCCTATTCGAGAATTGTTGCCAAGTCCATATTCATGTTGTCAACATTTCTCCCTCGTTTGTTTCTGATTTGCCTGGCTGGTATTGGAGCCCTGGAAGAGAAGGCGATATGGAGGATACTATCATCCGCGAAGCTGTGTATTGAACAGGAAGTTGCTTCCAACAAATCGTTGATATGGAGTAGAAACAGTGTTGGTGCTAGAATTGATCCTTGCGGAACATCAGCATTTATGATAAGAGAGTCAGATGAATCTTCGTCGACCACTACATGGAGGGACCTGTTTGAGCACAGCCGTCTTCAACTAACAAGCCGTGAAGAAGCAGTCTGGCAACATTGTCCGAACGACCGAACTTGCACCTGTCGGCCATTCAAAGTGTATTGTGTAGGAAGTAAACAAGGAGTTTATGGAAGGTTTTTTTAAAGTTTTCAATTATTAATTGGTGTAATATAGAGATCAAATAATTTCAAAAGTATTAGCAACAATCTAGGAATCGACTCGAGACTGAAAGTGTGTGGCAAGTGCATTCAAAATTGTGTTAAATTGGAGGTTATAGTGAAGTGTACTAGTGCTGGTGTATTTGCAAGGGAATTTGTGTTGTTTTTTCAATTTACTCCTGGAAATAAGTGAGTTATTCATTATTCCTTATAAAATATGCCTTCTCATTGTTGTGTGCCAGGATGTAAGTCAAATTACAGCTCTGAAAAATAGCTGGGAAAGGATCATGTCTCAGTTTTTTTATTCCCAAAAGGGGAAGAATTGCGAAGTAAGTGGATAACAGCAATACCTCGAAAAAACTGGACACCATATCAACGTTCTACAGTATGTGCAATTCATTTTATTGAAAAAGATATCATCAGGTATGATACATTCCCTCTGCCAGATGGATCAATTGGAAAAAATTTGTTACGAGCACCAAAGTTAGTCAAAACAGCAGTTCCTTCAATTTTTCCAAATTTACCAAAATATTTTTCAAAACCAGCCAAACCATCAAAAACTGATCCAAATGAAAGACGTCAGAAATATTTAGATATTCAAAGTATAATATAATAGAACAGTTTGAAAAATCAGACCTCATCCACAACTATGAACAGTTAGTTAGGGAATATGTTGAGAAAGTTGAAATTGATACTTGGAAAATTCATAAGACTGATGATAAATTGTATTTTTATGAATTAGATTTGCAAGCAAATGTTTTTCATCCCAATGATGTAAATACTTTACAAATTGTTTCTCAAGTTATAATATCAAATGAGATGGAGGTCCAAGTTTTTCTTGGTGATAATAAACTTGGATTCAATGAATTGAAATGGATTCTTACTCATGATATGAAATTGAATAGATGGTCACAACTTGAAAATATTCTAGCTAGATTCAAAAACATCTCAGATCAAACTGACAAACACTCAGATATGAATGAAAAATTCGATATCTCCATAAGTTTTATTTTAACAAAATGTTCAAAATTACGGCTTCAGTTCATGACCAAGGGAATTATTCAACCACATTATTCCTCGTTCTTCACTCTGTAAGTTCACTCTCCTGTATTTTTTACCTATTCGACAAAATAATCCGAGAAAATTACGTTAAACCAAACATTCAAAGCTCGCGCTCATATAAAAACCATTGTATTGCTAGGCTCGTATGGGACCGACGGATTCCGTTCGTGCGACGTTGCCAGTATCTCAGCACGGCTTGTTAGTTGAAGACGGCTGTGGTTTGAGAGAAAACTAGCTAGCAGAGAACATAGCTGGCGAGGAAAGCCATAAGATGGAAGCTTGGCGAGGAGTCCGTGGTGCCAGACTCGATCGAATTCCAGAAGGTGCCAAAAATGCAGAATATCAAAAAATTCCAGGTATCACTCACTTGCGAATTGATAGCGCTGAGATGTATCTGAGCCACTGCGAGATCAAAACGCTTCATGGAGATGTCCTCTTGCAGCTCATTGGCCTTATTGTACAGGGAGGCCTCGACAGACCGCTGCTGCACCCGCAACAGCGTGTCCACAGCATCCTGGATCTGACGGATCTGCAGTTCTAGGTCCTGGGATTCCTTCCTCAGAGCCTCGTGAGACGGTTTGATTTGCACTGCGGACAGTCTGTCGATGACCAGTTCGTCCTTGAGGGGTGGGGGGATGTTTTCCTTGAATGAGAAAAAACACAGATGAAACATTGAAAAGGAATATTCTCAGATATCAATATGAAGATAAAAGAATGGATACATATACAGGGTGGGTCACGGTCGATGGCACCTTAGACGTTTATGGAGAACGGGACATAAGATCATTCTGAAAATTTGATAACTCGAGTAATTGCTCTTGATCTATCGACCTAAGATATTTTCAGCTCTGCGGCGTTGCCGCTTCTATCGAAAAGTAGCAACAACTTTGTTATTTCAAATGGAACACCCTGTATTTTATCGCATTTTCAGATTCTCTCTGAAAAGCTGATTTCATCAATGTATCACACTTGGGGTCTAGCGGAAATGATTACAGAGATATAGGGTGTTCAAAATCGAGATTTTTTCAACTGTAGGATTTTTTTGCGTCGAAACTATTCATTATTGGTCAAAACGACTTCCATGTCTCTATCTCAAGTTTTGATTCACTATCTACTGACATTTATTTGAAACAAATACAGGGTGGTTCAAAATTCAGCATTCTGATCACCCTCGTATTTGTTCCAATTCAATGTCAGTGTACAGTAAATCAAAAGTTGAGAATGGGACATGAAAGTCGTTTTGACCAATAATGAATAGTTTCGACGCAAAATAATCCTACAGTTGAAAAATCTCAATTTTGAACACCCTATATCTCTGTCATCATTCTCGCTAGACCTCAAGTGTGATGCATTGATGAAATCAGCTCAAAAAGGAGAATGCGAAAATTCAATGAAATACAGGGTGTCCCATAAGAAAAAGTATAACTTTGATACGCCACGCATTTCTGAGTCACCCTGTATAAAGAGAAATAATTTGGAAATCTGCTGCTCATGATCCTAGATCATCTATGAAATTTTTGTTCATCTATCTCAAACAATAAAGCCGTTATCTCACTTTGCCACACTAATGACTCACCCTGTATAGAACTATAACGAACTGACATCTGAGAATTATGATTTGTTGACATACTCCTGTCATCTGGGCATTTGTTTTTGAATGTAGGACGAATTGATATACATCATACAGGACGTGGAAAGAAATGAATTGAGACAACCTCATCACGGATCTGCGATTATTGTCTAATTACATGAAACTTTCTTTTAGATTTCATTTGCATCTATTTTTCGCATACATTCGCGAGTTTGCATTATGAACTAGCTCATAAGATTGTTTAATTTCCTCAAATATATAGATTCTTAAATGTTGTGGTATTAGTAGCGACTTTCACTAGTTTTTTTTTGTTTTTCATTCCAGGGTAACTTGTTTTCACTTCAAACGTCAAAAAAATGACAAGGTTCGCGCATGTTTGGATTTCTGGATGTTTTACAAGTTTTTTTTTCATCTCTTGGATCGCACGAAATGACATTCCTATAATGTTCGTGGAACATCATGCCTTTTAAGCCAGTTCAACACAATTTCGTATATCAAGCTATAAGCATGATACTACTTCCAAACTATGTTTTTCGACGTTTGTATAAAAAATTTTGTTTGCAACTAGTACTAGATACTAGATACAAAAATTATAATTTACTTACTCTATCAGAAAGATTTTACATTTTTAGACAATGAAGCATATTCTCTCACTCTCCCTCTCCATGTCTCTCTTTTATCAGACAAATATTTCCAGGGAATCTAAAGTGATATTCAATAGAGCAATTTTTATTGTGAATTAGCTTAAAATGTATTCATCCTGTGTATTAATCTATATTCCTTTGTATATAATGTATTATAAGATAGTTAAATACTGTCTGTAGGTTAATCGAGGAGGTGGTACATTCATTTTACTTGGTTCTTTGGGATTTTCTCTCCTCGTTTCTATAAAATAAAAGTATTCGTATTATTTCAATATATTTTTCTTTTAGACTCCCTGATAGAAAAATTTGTTAAACGCAGTGACATTTTGGGGCAAATCATCTGATTTGTTTCTCTACAAATATATTGAAATAATACGAATACTTTTATTTTATAGAAACGAGGAGAGAAAATCCCAAAGAACCAAGTAAAATGAATTATAAGATAGTTGTTTGTGAAACAAAAATGAAAAGTTGTCATAATAAAAAATAATTTGAAGACTGACAATAGATTTCAAAAGATTATAGAAAATATCAAAAAAAGGTCATTCGAGCGGATCTAATACACTAATTCCAGGTAAATCACGAACATAACTGGTCCTTCGAGCCGGATCTAATACACTAATTCCAGGTAAATCACGAACATAACTGGTCCTTCGAGCCGGATCTGATACACTAATTCCAGGTAAATCACGAACAATTTTTTCCACATGATTCTCATTTCACCGGAGCAATGAATATTACAAATGAAAAACTGTCGAAACGTGTTCAATTCATCACTCATGAAGCTCCTGAGTTCCAGACTGGAATTTTTTATTTCATGGAGCTCCAATTCAGCATACAATAAATGACCTCATTCTTGCTATGAATTCTTTCTGGCTAAAATTTTCCAATTCATTTGAAAGCTGATGGACTATTGTAACATTCAAGGCGATGTTCTCGTTTCGTTATTCTGTGGATATGTTTCTACAAAATTCCATTCCGTTTTTATATTGTCTGATGTGAACAATAACATTATATTTCACTGACAGAGTTATCAGAAATGCGGAGAAGCAATTTGATATTCGACTGAAAGGAATATAATGTCCTTCAGAAATGGGGTTGAGCCATGCACATACTGGAAATTCAATATAAATGATTCATGCAAACAGGGTGGACCAACAAAAGCTTCTCACTCCGATTTTGGGGCTTTAAAATGAAAATCTGGAAAAACGCTTGGATCGTAGATTTCTGATTCATGGCAGAAGGACTGCTTTCTCCATCCCCGTAACTTCAATCCCTGTACCAGAGGAAGCACATCTCAATGTCGAATATACCTCGAGAATATTATTTTTATCAGAGCAGGATTCGAATAGTTTTTATTTAAAAAGTTTGTGGACACACTATATGTTCGGTCCACCCATAGACATATAAAAAGGAAAGAGACTAAATAGTATGATGACAAATGTCTGCTGATTGCTCAAGATCTACTGCTCGCGTTTGAGAACGAGAGGGAATCATTTATCATACATTAATTATAATATACATTTTTTATGTATAATCATTCTGTATGTTTATTCCTCAATTCAAATATGTGAATCTACTATATTATAATGTATTATGGAAATAAGTGTGGCAAGGCTGTAATCACGTGCTTTTTTATGTTCTGTTTCCCACGAAAAGGAATATATTGTAATGTTCAGAGAACATCGTGAGCGTTAGGTAGGAATTGGTGTTCTTGAATTTCCTGAGAGTTATATGCGTCAGGGAATACCTCCCTTGGCAATGTGTTCCAGAGCCTCGCTGTTCGTTGGATGAACAAGCCTTTGGAAGGAGATGTTCTGCAGGTCTCCAAAGTAATCACGAAGAGGTGCCTCAACTCGACGGGTTAATCTCGCGGGGACTGCCAATGGAGGAGCAATTGTTGATATTTCAGAAGAGCATCGTCCATGAAAATATCTATGAAATAGAGCCATCAGATCGTCGACTTTTCTACGGTGTTCCAGAGAAGTGAGTGAGTGAGTGAGCGAAGCATCACCCACCCACGAGACGAATTGCACTCTTTTGGACAGATTGCAACAGTTTCAGGGTATGTTTGGGTGCTGCACTCCATATATGGGAACAGTATTCCAGGACAGGTTGGATCTGTGCCTTATAGACCATAAGCAGCTGACTGAAAGTGAAATAGCTCCTGGCCCGAAACAGAAAACCAAGTTTTTGAGATGCACTTTTAGCAATTCAAATATCACAAGGAATTGTAAAATACACGAGCTTTTTTTGATTTGGTTATATAACCGAATGAGTAGGTTTCTATATTCTTTAGCACAGAATTCATTTACGTAATCACTATTCGCAAATTGCATCAGGTACCTATGTAAATAACAGCTATCGGGCTGAAAGTGACAGTTTGAAATAAAACAATTTCATCTCATCTGAAATGGACCGTTTTATATTGCCTTCAATTTCCATCATTTCGAAATTGATTTCCATGTATATATTCGTCTGTTCCATAACTCGATCGTGATTTGGAATACGTTTCAATTATTGCGCATCAGTTTGAATCAGTCAATGAAATTTCAGTTAACATGGACCTTACAAATTCAATACTTTCAAAACCAGAGTTTTCCAAACCTCCACTTTCTTGATGATACTTCGATTCTTGATTCAGTCGAAATTCAATGATTTCATCATCTTTTGTAGGCCACTTTGTATTCAATAGTAATTCTGTTATGCTCAAGTCTCAACTTCACTATGTATAAGCAGAAAGTTTAGAAATTTCACCTTCAATGAGGAGATCAAAAGCTAATCTTATATTCTCCAAAGATGGTCACACCTTTCCTAAAATTCCAAAATCATTCAAATGAAACACATTGTGGGATATCCAAGATTATGCAAAAAGTTATCATTACGTTGCCGATGTTGAAACTAAATGCGAAATTGATTTTAATATGACTTTTGATTTTGAATCCTAAAATTTCGTATGGTTCTTTTTTTTTCGAGAATATGTGATGTTTCCTACGTTATTTCGTTTGGAAAACACGAATATGGAGAAGGAAATGTGTAAATTTTTCATTGAAATATTTCACGAACAAGTTTGAAATGTTGCTGCCATTCTTGGATACGCATTTGCCCTTCTTTTTTCATAATCGGACAATCACGATGTACTTCCATGACACATTTCAAATATAAAAATCGACCAGAAATATGATATTCTAGCCATTTTTTCGTATCAAGTGCAATTCAATCATCAAGGACATGTCAATTGTGCAAGAATTCACTTTTACCTTGGCTAAAAATGAACAAACTTTTTTTTTCTGATAATTCATATCAAACAATTACTCATATAGTTTCAACCTAGTGAAAAAAGAGATTGAATATGGAAGAATATCATTGAAAATAATGTGTATAACATCATTCAGAAGCAATTCATCTAAAGTTTATGTTCTTGCAAAATCAGTTGACATTTGACCTTCATTTGACAGCTTTCAGCTTTGAATGATTGTTCAGTAAATTCAAGTGAATTTGAAAAACTCACCAAAAAATCAATTTTTTCTGTGACGGGAAAAAAGTTTGGCATTTCATCTCTGTTGGCAGGTTATAAAATGTCGCTTTTCATAAATTACTTTTTTTCCGTGGGAAAAAAGTGAGTACTTTTTTCCAGGATATATATCACACATATACACACTGTTAATGGCTTTTTTTGTGCTATAGTTCCGAAAAATGAGTCAATAATACCGTCTCCGAGAAAGAACTGCAAGTCCTTTTATCTTTCAATCGACTTCGCTGTTACGTATATTACTAAACAACCAATAAATTCGCGAATTTTTTTAATCAAATCACAGAATTAGACTGACAGAAGTGACATAAGATATTTTATTACTTCAAAAGGATGATGAAGATGCCTACAACACAGGTGTCCCTACTGTTAAAAACTTAAAATTTCACGTCGGTAATTTTCAGATTTCAAAATAATGTAATATCTTCTCAATATTGATTCATCCTTTCTTCTGTCACAGAAAAAAATGGTGCATTATACACGGGAAAAATATTAGATTTTAGCTCACACAACCTGGAGCTAAAATCTACTACTTTTGCCCCTTGTATAATAAATAACTATTTTATCTATATAAAATTTGTCATTGAAGGACATCATGGGTATATAAAGTATCCAATGACAAAATAAGAAGATCAAGTCGCTGTGAATGCGTATATATCCAAGACAGGTGGAGAATGTAGGTGAGATTGAGAACTCTTTCATAAAATATCTCGATAAATAGTCATTTGGTCCCATTTCCGTTAGCAAATTCGTATTTTTCAGACAAAAATACGTAAGTGAGAAAAAATTCGATAAAACAATCATCGCATGATAATTGTGAAATTACCTACCTATTAGCCTTTCCTGTATAATCATCCCTTGTAGTATATCACTCAAAGCTTTCTCTTGTAAGTTTCCGAATGTTTATTTCAAGACTATAAAAAGCAGGTAGATGAATTTTTTTAGGTAACTTACGTTCGTTAGTGACTCCAATTGTTCTCCCCCCACCGGATCAGGAGGCGGAGGAGGTTGTGGAGGCACGAATATCCTCCTCAAGACAGGCATTCTACCAGCAGGCACAGGCAGAGACCGAGACAGATGGCTCAGATCGGACTTCGCGGTGACAGCCCTGCATTGAGATACTAGGCTGTCATATCGTCTGGATTGTTCTATTGCCTATGGACGAAGAAAAATTCTCATTTTGTTTGAAATGTTTTCCTTTCTTTTTCTCCACCAAAATCAATAGTAGCTGATGGTGGGAACTTCATAGATCCGAAACATGTTTTCCCTTTCATGATTTGATTATTAGATTAGATTAGATTTGGAATGGGGCCTTCGGGCTATCTGCCTCCACACTGCGACCTTTTCAGATCTATTGTGGCTGCCCTCAAAATCGATTAGAGTTCTTCGGCTAGCCCCGCCTTCTCTATGAGACTCCATAGGCTAGCTTTCAGATCTCCTGTGTATCTCTGAGCTCCTGGTTTTTCCTCACCCAGCGTAAGGAACCTTAGTCTTGACAAGCCCTCACAGTGGCAAAGTATGTGTACTGCTGTTTCTTCCTCCTCGAGACAGAACCTGCACAGCAGTTCTTCAGTCAGACCTCTCATGTGTTTGTTGAGCCTACAATGCCCTGTGAGAAGTCCCACTAGTATTCTAGTTGAACTTCGTTTCTGGCTTAGTAGGTATTCTGTGAATGTTGGCGATGGTTTTTTAATAAACTCTTTAGCCTGTCTCATTCCTGGCGAGTTGTTCCACCATTCTTGAGATTTGATGATACTGAACAATATCAATATAGACTTCTACAGTAGATTAGGAACCAGCACAGCCGACACATCTGTGACATGACATCTCGGAGATGTCGCGTTCAGGTAACAGTGCGATATCACAAACGTTCCATCGCTGTGATTTCCATTAGTCTTGGTCTCGAGTATTGGTCTTGATCTTGGGAATATTTATTGAGTCTTGGTCTTGATCTTGTATTAAGACCAAGACAAGACAAAGACTGGACTCTTGGTCTCGCGAAGCCCTAATTCAGTTACTTATCCTAATACCATGATGTTGTGGAGGTATACTAGGGCGAAATCTTGCCAAAATTTGACAAAAATAGGAATCTGTATGGAGACTAGAATTCGATTTGTGAGGGTACTCACCCTATTAGAAACTACTTCAGCACCCTGTAATACCGCTTCAGTTACAGTTGAACACAGATCAGTGTAAATTTCTTCCAGTTCCTGAAACAAACACAGAACAAAGATTACAAAGTTTCATCAGCTATTGTTGGTTACTTAGCTTCTTATTTCACTCTTTGAACTCTGCAATCAACTTAATAAATTGAAAGAAACCGAGACGTATTTCATTTTTCAGTTTGAAGACTCATTGAGCATTCCAACAGTGGTTATGATTATGAAATGAGTTTTTCTTTCGAGATATTCGTATTTCCTTAGACCTTCCAGTGACAAAACTCGGTTTTTCTCTTCCAGTTATAAAAACTGTACTACTTTCAAATTGATTGAAACCTTTTCATTTCTGGCTTTGAGTTAACTGAGGTTAACCAAATATAAATGCGAATGAAATTTCCCTAATGTCTTCTAGGGCACGCTGGAAAAAATGCGAGCAGTAACAGTCATACAGGGTGGTCCATCAAAACTGTTCCTCAATGCATTACAGGATGGAAAATAACGTTTCAAGAAAATCCGTTTCTATATTGATGATATTATTGTCATTCTGAGTACAGTTAGAGTCGTAATAAAATATGGCACAGAACTAAGTCATAAACATGCATTTTGAAGAAAATGACAATGTCTGTATATCTAGATATAGATGCAATCATACGTAGGCGAAATTGAACTTTAATTGTTACGTAATAACTAACTTTACCTCAACGAGACGGCAATCTATCTTTCACTCAAGATATTTCTAAAACTAAACCACATACATAGATCAACTTCAGGGTATTGAATGAATGCTAGGTGGATATTAATTACGTCGTAGGGCAATGGCAGATATTGAAAAGCAGTGTGATCCCACAAATCGGATTGTAATATGCCGTCTCTGAGACGTATGGTATGATTAGTAGTTGAGGGTTAATTTTACCGCAAATGAATGTTTATTGAGTATTTTCCTATATATTGCTGTTCAGTTCTGAAAAACCGATCTACTCGTTTAAAAAATATGAAGCTTAGAAAAACCAACCATAGGTGGGAACGAAAAATATAAAAAATAATCTGAGTCATCTTTCAAATTTACTTAATCATTCATAATCAGTTCTTCGCTGTTTTTGCTGCTTTGCATATTGTAGAGGATCGTTTTTATGAGTCGAAAAACATAGAGTTTGTTCAGATAGGTTAGATACTTGTTATAGATAGCTGTCATGTGACTTGTGGTTAAAGTAAAACCCTTCTCTTTCGGACTGGGGCTCTTTCGACAAAATATGAAAATGAACTTCCAGATAACACGCTTTCCTCCAAAGCTATCGGTAATTCTTGAGCATTTGTGCAATTATAATGCCTTCTCGACAGTCCACCCTGTGGAATATTTCCAGATGAGAGGTATTCACATGGAATTATTTGCTGGACATTCGAAGCTCGAATCACGAGTATCCGGTTGAACTGCATATAAGTACATCAATTCATTTCGAGAAAATAAAATATTCCTTTGCATTCGCCAGAAATATTTCAGCTATACACGCGTGGAATCACCTCAGCAATATCAATCTCATTAGTGAATAAATCCATCCCGAACTCTCCGGTGTTTATATGCATCCCGAAAAGCAATATCAGTTGAAGAGGCATGTCCGAATGTCAAATAACATGGGGATAGGGCTTTGTGTTCCAGTCAAACAGAATGCTGATGGCATTTCATCAATTGGAAGAGCCCTGCATTTGCCGACAGAAGAATGCTAATCACACAGACCCATTGCCAATAGTCAGAGACGAAATGTTTGATTGAAATGAACAAGAAGTGTTCAAGTATCATGCACTGAACTTTGGTAGAAGTCCATATTGCTCTAAGTGAAGTGGAATATTTCAAGGGAAGGAAGGCAACTTTGAGCATTCCTTCCTTCCTGTGTATCATGCACTAGCCTAATTTTTAATAATCGGTCACCAGACCTTAATCCCATTGTTTGATGTCTACGAGAATGAGCAGCTGATCAGGTTTCTCAAAGCTGCAGACTTCTACCTCTGTTGGTTTCATTTGAAAATGCTCTAGGTATAGTGAAAACCATTGGGATCTGGCATTATGTCATATAATTCATGTTTCTTGTGAAAAAGAGTCACGCTGAATACTCCCATTTGTATTTTGTAATCAGCACAGTATGTATAGCTGACCATTTGATCTGAATAGATGTAACAAATTCCTCAATCATCATGCTTCAGTCGTACGTCTTGATGAATTCGAGATGTAGAAAATATAGGAGTACTTCAAAGATCTGTGACGGAGAGCAATATCAATGCTTCTTCAATGTCCAAATGTCAAATAACATGAGAGTAGGATTTGTGTTTCAGTCGAACAAAAAGCTGATGGCATTTCATCAATTATTGGAAAAGATCTGCATTTTCCGTCATAAGAATGCTGTAGGCTGTTATCTCTGTTGGTTTGGTTTGCAAATGCTCTAGGTAGTGAAACCTATTGGGATCTGGCATTATGCCATAGAATTCATGTTTCTTGTGAACAAAAGACAAGCTGAAAACTCCCATTAGTATTTTTGTAATCAGCAGAGTATGTAAAGCTCACCATTTGATCTGAATAGATGTAACGAATCAGCATGCTTCGGTCGTAACGTCTTGATAGATTCAAGATGTAGAAATTATAGTAGTTCCTCAAAGCTCTGTCCCGAGGAACAATCCATTCGCATGTGAGTTACCGAACAATGCCGAAGAGCAATATCAGTGGTTTGCTTCTTCAATGCCCAAATGTCAAATAACATGAGAGTAGGGTTTGTGTTTCAGACGAACAGAAAGCTGATTGCACTTCACCAATTATTGGGAAAGATCTGCATCTGCATCTGTCATGAGAATACTAATCACACTAACCGATTCCCAATAGTATCAACGTGTATATATGATTGAAACGAACAGGAAGAGCCTGGATCATGCATTGGCCTAAGTTTTCAAACCTTAGGAAATCGGCCACCAATGTTAGCAGACCTTTATTCCATTGTTTGGTGTCTATTGGAATAAGCATACCGATGATCTCATAATGACTGCCTCTTCCTTGCCCAATAGTCTCCTCATATTAGATGTTTTGAAGCGGTAAGCTTTTACTTCTGTAGATTTCTTCAATAAAAATGCTCTAGGTGGTGGAAGCTATTGGATTTAGGCAAATTTACGCTTCCAAGACATTCGAAAAAAAAAACATTGTAAACATTGAAAGCAGGGAGTAATAACTAAAACAATGAACTGACACCTAATCTATTGAATTGACTCGTAGCATCTAGATTTTGGTTGCGCAGAAGACTAAAACATCAATGTCATTCCTGTTCAAGTCACTGAATAGCAGAAAACCTGAAGGGTATCTCCCATGCAGTAATGAATTTGCGCCTTCGAAGAGCCCACTGGTAAAAAGGATTTATTGGTCTATAGCGTGTATAGGAGATAGGATTTGACATGTTCTTACCTGTAATAGAGATGGAAGGGTATTCTTCCCGAATTCTTCCATCATACCGTTCGTTGCATGAAGTTGCTGAATGTAAGCGTTGTGCGTATTGAAATACGCACTCAGACTGTCATTGGATGGCGAAGATAAATATGATAAATAGGCGTTTTTGTATTCCTGCCGACACTGAAACAAAAAACAACCAACATTGAGAAACAAATTGCAGCTCTTTATCTGGTCAATTGGTTTAATGTCTGGGCTTCAAGCTGGTCAATTTTTCAGTAGGTATCTCGGCAGAGTTGTTGATGAACAATTCTCGTAACTTGCTATTAGGTATCGTCAGGTTTGAATATTTGCTAAATACTGATATATTACCGGAGAATTTTGATTAATTTTCCATCATCACTTGTGTTCGAAAAATCTACGAACTCGAGAAACAACTCGAGATGAGATGAGATATATTTATAACTGTTTTGAAGATTGGTGACATTGAAATTTGCTGTTTTGACCCATTTCAAAATTTTGCCCCTATTGAAATATGCATAACTTTTTTCTGCTTCGAACAATTCGAATTCGGATTCGCTAGCCCAGTCCTTCAGTTATGATCTTGATCGATACAGGGTGTTACCTGAAACTGTGCAAAATTTCGTAAATTTAAGAAGGATCTCAGATGGGGGAAAACTTTTATTACAACTTCCACAGTAGAGGCATGAATATGATCACACTACCTTGGAACATTTTTCTTCCTTTCTCTTTTATTTACAGAGTGTTCTCAAAAAATGTTTTTTTTTTGGTTTTTGCAGTTATAACTTTTTTCCATGTCAACTGATTGCTTAAATCTCAGGCTCATTTCGAAGCTGAAACTTCAGATGAAGAGATATGAAGATCAGGATTGACACATACAGTGTGTTTCACTTTCAATGACAGCACCCCGGTATCGTTCGTAATTGTTTAGTTAGCATCCTGAAATTTGCAGAAGCGGTAGATATACTGGAAATGCACACCATAATCAAGTGGTGTCATCTTCAGTGATAAACACTGCTCGCCCACAGCCGTGGAACGACCCATATTTCCGTAAAATGATATTTTAGCAAAGATATGTTGAAAATGACTTCGGATTCCAAATGAAGAAGTCTGTTATATTATGGTCATAATTCAATAAACACGAGCAGAAATGATATGGACAAGGGTTACACTTGCTCTTAACTCGGCTGCCTGCCGAACATTGTATGAGCCAGTCTTCACACACGTCTGTCATAGGCTCTGATCTAAGCACATTCCACTGAGCAGTAGCGCATCTAGTTGCTAGATGCTAACAAAGTCGAATTCACTAACTATACATATTCTCCTTAGGAAATTTCCAGTTCTGGGAAATCTTATTTTGATTTACTTTTCATGGTATCTCACGTGATTATTGAGGTAGGGTTCTGGAATTTGTAGGGAGAATGGGAAGTCGAACGATAGTCAAATATGAAAGATATGGAGGTGCTTCCATAGGAATTGAGACAACATTTGATTTCCCAGAACTGAAAATTTTACAGAAGAAATTTGGGAAATTATTGAATCAGATGTGATTTTCAACCTATCTTGCCTCCTAATATCATTTTTGTGGGTGGTTTCATGGCTGTTGGTGAGCAGTGTATATCACTGTAGATGAATCCACATCATATCATCACAGTGCATCACCCGCTCCTGTGAATTTCAGAATCCTAACTTATTACGAATGATACCGGACTCCCATTAGAAGTGAGACATACGGTATAATGTTTATCTTGAGTCAATTCAGATCTCCATATCTTTTCATCCAAAGTTTTAGCATCAGAGATTCGGAAAATCGATTGACAAGAAAAATTGTTATGACTGCATAACCCAAAGTTAATATTTTGGGATCACTCTGTGAATAAAAGAGATTAGAAGACATCTGACACAGTTTGATGTAATACCCTGTAGAGAACCTCATGTTTTAAAGAAGTAAGAGATCATAGCTGCAGGACTCTTCAAAGCAGAAACAAGTTATTCATATTTTGACAGAGGCAAAATTTTTGAGTGCGACAATGTTAGTGTTGTGTAGTTTTGTTTGAACCATGAAAACAAGGAAAAAGGAAATTACAGGGTATAACAGCTTGACCACTCCAGAACTACACCGTTTTCAATTGTAATTCAGAAAGTGTAATTTGTAATTCAGAATAGTTAATTGTAATTCAGAAAGCGTCAATTATAATTCAGATTAGTCAATTGTAATTCAGAATGCATAACATGTAATTCAGATTAGTGGAATGTAATTCAGAAAATGTAACTTGCAATTCAGAATAGTCAATTGTAATTCATGAAGCGTAATTTGTTATTCAGAGATCATCACTTATGAATTACAAGTGATACTTTCTGAATTACAAGTTATGCTTTCTGTATTACAATTGGCGATTTCTGAATTACATTCCTTTATTCTGAATTACAAGATACACTTTCTGAATTAAATTTGAGTAATCTGAATTACATATTACGCTTTCTGAATTACAATTTACTGATCTGAATTTCAAGTTATACTTTCTGAATTACAACTTATACTTTTTGAATTACATCTTATACTTTCTGAATTATAATTGAAAATGGTGTAGTGTAGAAAATTAGAATAAAACGGCATGTTCCATGTCTCCTTGTATAATATGGACATATGCAATATTCCTCAAGAATTGTATAAAAATTCGATTCTTCAGTAGGTGAGTGTACTTAGACATTCCTTAGTAATTACTATTTCATATAATGTTTTTTTAGATCTCTGGATGAAAAGAATCTTGTTCCATATCAGTCAACGAAACAGACATTCAGATAAGGAATGTGAAAACACTGATATTCTTTATGTGACTGTGGAAATAAAGCGTCTAAACTGAATACAAGTTTATTTTTATAACATGGAATATGTTTATACAAAAACACTCATATTACGTTATTGGCGTAAATCTATCAGTGTAGCAATTCTAATTCCCTCATTCATTCTATCAACGCTTCACTTAAATGTTCTCATTGAGATAAATTGATTCTCAGACGAACATAACTCAATTATTCGAGAAAAAACTTCGAAGAAATTATTCGCCATTCCGATCTGAATTGAGTTGAATGTAGTTTGGACAAACACAAATCCAATTTACTCAAACTGAATGGAGATCGAGTTGACATATATTATAAAAGTTGCCATCTCAGTTGTCCTAACAAATTTATTCACTTCAGTTCCTTTCCATCGCATTTCCACTTGGTTTTGCAAACCATGGAAGGAATAGTCAATAGTAGGAGAGGAAAAAAGGGTTAATAGGGATTTACTCGAGCGTCGTGGGGAAGTATCAGATTATGAAGATTAGAAGCAAAAATGAAAAAAAAATAATAATAATAATAATAAATTATTAACATATACATCCAATAATCAAATACAGTTTATGCATGATGAAAAATATAACAACAGAAGACCTTCATAAGTACAATATTGAACATTAAGTTTTCAAAAATTAGGAGTGAATAAATTGTTAGTCTACAGAAGGCAAGGCCTGTGCGTGGACTAGCTCTAAATTCCCAACCACAATATAAGCACGAGGCAAATTATTGTTAGATCATATTCAGTGTTCTATCAATTATACGTCTTGAAAATTCCACTTTTTTAACAGTCGTTTATTCATGCATTAGAGGTGCTTCGACTTCACAATACAATATTTCAGTGGTGAATGACTTGAATTACTCACCAACTCTAAATTCGCAATGAAAATAAAGAAACATTGAGTGAAATATTGATAACAATGATAAAATAGCAATAATAATAATAACAACAACAACAGTAGTATGATACCAACAAAAATAACAACAATAACAATATATATTACCCAGCGAGCACAAACATCTCTGGGATGTTTTGAAAATGTTGGCATGAAGATGTTATTTTGAGACGTAATATGCACTGACCAAAGAGGTCTTTGAAGGACATTGAAGTTTTGTTTTTGTTCGTCTGTGGCATTTCTTTGTTTGCCTAATGAGAGGTATCCTTGGGATGTTCTGGGATGTTTTAGAAGTAGGCATGAGGATGTTTTTTGAGACGTAATATGCACTTCCCAAAGAGAGAAGGATATTGAGAGTATTGTTTTTGTTCTTTTGTGCCCTTTCTTTGTTTGCCTTACCACAACGTCTCATGCTTACGTCACAATACGATGAATTCTGATTTGTTTTCGATTTTGTTCTATCTATCTCTGTGTTTTTCATTTTCAATTTTTGAATAAGGCTTTATACGAGCTTTTGATTGTATATTTTCGAATGTGTTTCAGGAAGCTCCACATTTTGAATCGCATATTGTTTATTATATTTCATTTAAATATGTATATGTACGAGCTTTGCTAACAAAAACGAATGTAATTATGGCAATAAAGCATACATATTGAATTGAAATTGAATTGAACCACAATTACATACATAGTTCCCAGTGGCTGCAAGCACCACACTTAATTGATGATTTTAGCTACTTTGGCTTGTGCAAATCGGCAGATTATGTCATCTCCGTGACTCATTGCCTTCAAAATAATAAGAAAATTAACCACGCGCAAGAATGTACAGGTGACGATTTTTTTTGCATCTTTGTGGCATCTATGGTGACTCTACCGTTTCCGTATGTTATACGCTCAAATCGTCAGATTATTGAAATGCGTACTTTTCTGTATGTAATTAACGTACCATGTATTACGAAAGCGCTAAAGGGACATAGTAAAATATTTAAAAAAAAAAATATTTTCTACATTTTATAGCAGCTCTGAAGGGACATTGTGAAAAAACCTGATTTTATTTACGTAAATAGAATTATATTTCTCCCATGATCCTCCAGAGCTGCTATAAAATGTGAAAAATATTTTTCCCACAGAATTAAAATCATAATTTCCAGAATGTCCCTTCAGCGCTGCGTATAAAAATATGATAATTTGTTTTCGCTCTGCGGTGTTGCCAAGTCTATTTGTAGAATGTCTGTTGGCTCGCGCATGCGTGCAAAATATTGAATCCTACCTGAAAGTATCTTTCGAATAAGTGCTCCACGCCTGCCATGAAATTAATCTACCTAGAGGGGGATGTGAGGTGTGAGTGGTGTTAACAATAATAATAATATCACAAAACCCGTTCCAACTCCCTTCTTCTTATTGGTCACATCTTGATCATATCATACAATTTCTGACGCAGACGCATTGTGTCTTCACGAACTATACAAACAAACTTGGCAACTGGCTACACAGCACTGTGAAATAGTAATTTTCCTAACAAGTGCGGAAAGTGATTCTTTCCCGCACGTGACTGCCGTTGACACGAACGACGCGAAGCGGAGTTCGGGCAAGCAGTCGAGTGCGGGAAAGAAACTTTCCGCATGAGTTAGGAACAATATTTTTTCTACAAGCGTAGGAAATTGATTGAATCGTTCAATTAATTATTCAAGCAAATAGGAACAACTAACAAGAGATATATATTCTCTATCTATTAATTATTAGTGATAGCTATTGTGAACTTACAGTTTGACGCATTATGTTGGTTCATTGCGGAAGCCAGCAGGCCCATTAGGAGTTTGGTCTCTAGGTTCCAGACACTTCTATGAAATAAGCCAAAAATACCTATTCTTCATTCGGTTTTTTCATTTCTTTATTGTTGCACCATTCAATAAAACGCGTGTATAGCTTCTCATACCTTTCTTAAGACTTCGTTGGTGATAACGCATCTGTATTAAATCCCTATAGCTAGAAGTTTTTGATCACATTGTGGCATTTCCACTGAATCGAAAATGACAGTAACGCTGTGTCTGTCACTTCGACAATTTCAAACTTATTTGAGGTTTGATTGGCATGACAAATTGACGTTTCCCGTCAAATCAATCCAAATCTATAGGGGGATTTTTATAATAATCAATTTTTATTTCTCAATATTTCTTAATTTTTACAATAAATAGTGCAATTTGATGGATGATTCTGAACATACATACTTAATACTGCAACAAACAAACTTAAACTTTCATATTCCATCACCAACCACTTATATTACTAGCGATTTCATCATATCTATGTTTTCCCGCACTAGTGCGGGAAAAATTTTTTCCGCAGTAGTGTGGGAAAATTTTCCCGCCCTGTTGCCGGAAAATAACACTTCCCAAACTAAATTGCGTGCGGGTATAGGGTGAATCACGCACGCTTGTAGAAAAAATATTTTTCCCACAGAATTAAAATCATAATTTCCAGAATGTCCCTTCAGCGCTGCATATAAAAATATGATAATTTGTTTTCGCTCTGCGGTGTTGCCAAGTCTATTTGTAGAATGTCTGTTGGCTCGCGCATGCGTGCAAAATATTGAATCCTACCTGAAAGTATCTTTCGATTAATTGCTTCACGCCTGCCATGAAATCAATCTACCTAGAGGGGGATGTGAGGTGTGAGTGGTGTTAACAATAATAATAATATCACAAAACCCGTTCCAACTCCCTTCTTCTTATTGGTCACATCTTGATCATGTCATACAATTTCTGACGCAGACGCATTGTGTCTTCACGAACTATACAAACAAACTTGGCAACTGGCTACACAGCACTGTGAAAAATATTTTTACATTTTTATATGCAGCGCTGAAGGGACATAGGAGAAATAAAATTTTATTTACAGGAATAAAATCATATTTTTCTTATGTCCCTCTAGAGCTGGTTAAAAATGGGAAAAATATTTTTTTTATAGAAATAAGATCATATTTTTCATAATGTCCCTTCAGAGCTGCAATAAGATGTGAAAATTATTTTTTATAAAATTTTTCCACCATGTCTCTTCAGCGCTTTCGTAATGTCTTAATCTGAAGCGCTCGAGTATTTCTGGCGATCGATTTTTTTTTATTAATCTGATCGGCTGCCCTAAACATTCCACACCATATAAAGGGCCCAGGTATGGAGGGAGTACTAGATAAAGGCCGAAGATACCCCTCTTATGTTAATCTGCCGCGCTCGAGTAAATCCCGAAATCCCCGCTTGGGCTTCCCTACAGGGAAATCTTGTCTTACCTTAGCCAGTTTTTCCTCGGTTTTCGCGATAATGGTCTCGTAGCTTTCTCTGTGAGTGAACACTTTCCTAGACTGGATTTTTCTGTGGAAGGACCTTTCCAGCAGAGGTCTGGCCACCTGGCGCTCCAGAATTGAAGCTATGTCACCCATCGCTTGCGAATCGATTTCCACCTCTTGTAGAAGAGTTTCCCACGTATGGAAGAGGGAACTTGGACAAGCTGGTCTGAAGAGGACAAAAAATGTTGTTGGTAATATTGCAGGGCATGTCGAACAATTCCATTTTTATCAATCAAAGAATGTATCAGAACGTGGTAGTAGTAGTAGTTTTCGGTGAGTCAAATATTTCCATTGAACATATCAACATATTTTCACACCAGATGGAGATAAATGAATAACTAATTTTCAATGAATGTTATGAGGAATATATTTTCTAAGTATAAAATATTGTATAAGCCAGGAATGTAGTTGTTTTCTGTTTCAAATTTAAACAATATAGTGACCGTTCTTTCTTCGTATATAATTTATGAAATTGGGTATTTCCAATATTTGACAGATGTAATTCAATATTCTGTGTTATACAGGGTGTTTCATAGGTGAAGGGAAATATTTCAATGGTAGATAGGGGTCACCATGGTGGTTCTGAAAATACCATATTTGATAGGTCTTAGAGTCTTCATAACGGAGATACAGGGCGATTTATCGATTTCGAATAATTATTCATTCGTCTATATGTATTGACCTACCCAGTATATTCTTCTCAAATTTGGTGAGGAGCTTATACTTGGGACGTTAAATTTATTCACCTATCGGGCGGAGTGAAAATCCAGGTTCGGCTTCAGGAAAAATTTACATTTATTCGAAATATTAAAATAACACACTGTATTCAATAATTAACACAGTACATTAAAAGAATTGTGAAGAGGAGGCAAAACTGAATTGTGTATGATGCTTTTTGTTTTCCCGCCACCAATTCTCATCGTAACAATCATAAACAGAAAGTTGAAAGTATGCCAATTTGAAGAGTATTGGAATTATGGAACAGTCTCCATAAGTCTTAAACTACCCAGTAACATTTTCTTGAATTTGGTAGGTATGTAGCTTACTTGAGACGATGGATTCATTAACCTATCAGGCGGAATTAAAGACTATGAGACTTTTCCCAAGTAAGCTCAATACCAAATTTGAGAAAATACTACTGCGATGGGTAGTCTAATACTTATATGGACGAGTGAATAATTATTCGAAACCGATAATTCACCCTGTATCTCTGTTATAAAGACTGCGAGACTGAGTAAATTCTTTCGAACGATCATTTAACAAGAATATATCAAATAATCATAATTGAAAGTGGTTTCATAATTTCAATACTCTTCAAATTGACATACTTTTAGCCTTCTGTTTATGATTGTTACGATGAGAATTGGTAGCGGGAAAAAAAAGTATCAAATCCAGTTCAGTTTTTTCTCCTTTTCACGATTTCTCTGATGAACTCTGTCAATTATTACATACAGTGTGTTATTTTGATATTTCGAATAAATGTAAATTTTTCCTGAAGCCGAACCTGGAATTTCACTTCGCCCGATAGGTGAATGAATTCAACGTCCCAAGCATTAGCTCCATACCAAATTTCAGAAAAATATACTGGGTAGTTCAATACTTATAGACGAATGAATAATTATTCGAAATCGATAAATCGCCCTGTATCTCCGTTATGAAAACTCTAAGACCCATCAAATATGGTATTTTCAGAACCGCCTTGGTGACCCCTATCTTCCATTGAAATATTTCCCTTTACCTGTGAAACACCCTGTATTTAGACAATGATTCTTTCAATTTTTCAAAAGACCAGCTTCGGTGCAAGAACAGAATGATTTCGGTATTTTGTTTGTTCAATTTGCAAAGTAAACAAAACAAATCTTTATTTCAGATGGGCAACTCAATCAAGACGACAATATATCGATATACTTACTCGATTCATTTTATTCAACAGACTTCATTTTCGGCGTTATCCAGTCAATCATATGGATTTTGTCTGTTTATCCAAAACACCTTTTGATCAAGTGAATATAAAGGAATTTTTCCACCACTAGCTCTAGATCCTACCATCCTCCTTTTCAAGGCGTAAATTGTCTTTTCACTACCGATGTAGTTTTCGTAATTTTATGAACCACTAGAGAATAAAGACATAGCCACTTCTGATATTACTATCCCAAATTCACTGTTCTTATGCAAGATTCGCAAAAATGGCACTCGAATGATCAATAACGACGTCATATGCTCTAATGATCTCGGCTTCAGATTTCAATCAGAAATAAGAGCTTTCATAGTAACAATATATAGGTCCATATTTCAGTTTAACACAACTATCGTGATTGAAATATCCTGCTAGTGGTAAAAAACATTTGATATACACCTTGGTAGTAATAATAGTTCAAATAGGGAACAAAGTGGTATTTTAAACCCCTAGACAGAGAATTCAAAGCTCGACCAATAAGGGCTATAATTTGTCGAGGGATTAAAAACACTTCAGTACCGAGGTGTATATGTATACTATTTTATCCACTTCAGGATAGGTGAAACGTTAAGGAAAAAATAACGAAAAGGAACGTTGATGCTACTAAATGGTAGTTACTTTATTTCTAAAACATCATCGAAGTGGCTGATTGTTACCATTTCAACGACCTCAGTAACTATGGAGACCCAGATCATGATTGTCATCGGTAAACTGAAAATCTTGGTGTTTCATGACACGAGTAACTAACTAAAAAGGGTAAAACATAAATAAATGAATATTAGTCAAACACGCCACACCGGTTGAAAGACGTTGATCGCTATGGAACAAATCGAGAAGGCAGCTCAAGAAGCTGAAGGCCAATTATTACCAAGAAAATCTGAAGAACAATATGAAAAACAATTATCAGAGTCTATCAAATGGTGCAAAAAACGGAACGCAGAAAAATGTATAGCAGAAAAGGTACTGCTAGCTTATTTCTCTGTCCCTATATATCCCTAGAGATTTGAAGAAACTTCAGTTATTTCCTCGAAAATAGGCATTAAAGGTACCCTTTAAGTCCCTGAAGTGCATATGAAGAATATCATTACCCCCAGCTGAAGCCTCTGGTCAGTTATAATACTGATATTCTTCACTTCAGAGTTGTCATTGAATACTATAAAATTTTATATATTCCTATGTATACATTCTGACTGACTGTCAATTATGTTATTTGAAGAATAATCTATTCATTTATTCAACAACAATTGTGTATTGATGATTGAATCACAATTCTGAGAAACAAAGATGCTCATTCAATTCCACTTGATTAACATGATCCATAAATGAACGAGAGATAAACACAATAGAAAAACACCAAAATAATCTTGTCTGTCAACAGGAATCAGTATCACAGTAATAACATCGGTGTTGTTGCCAGATATATAAATTTATTACTTTCCTACTTAGAAAAAAAATGAAAATACATTTCGAAATCATTTTATTAGAGTTACTATAATAAAATGATCAAGGTTAGAAGTTATTCGACCAGCTGTATCTTAGGTCATATTCCTGAAATTGCGACAAAATTCTGATCACCTTTCTTATATAAGGAGTTCTTTTCTTGAAATGAAAATGTACAGAGTGTTTCCTGATATTACTCAATTTTAATAGTAATACAAGATCAAGCAGTTTGGGACTACTATGTGAAGCTGAATAATGAAGGAAAATGAGCTGAGGCGAATTAAATCAAATTTCCTCTTGCTTATTCTCTTACAAGAGAAGTTTCACATCTCTGAGTTTGTTAATTATTAAATCTATCGGAATCTGAATTTCGTGTGAGTTCTTTGTTCCTCTTCATTCTGAATTAAACTTGAACTAGGTTCAAGGTTGATAACTCTAGAAAATGAATTGGATGGCTGAAACTAAGTTATGGAATCACAACTTCTACAGCATTCGATATCATGATAGGAGACATTCCAATCATAAAGTTTGTTGGTTTTATCAAGGCATTCTTTATTTTTGTTCCAGAAATATAATACATTCTCCAGATATTCTACGTACCTTTCTTTTCTGAGATCTCCATTCTTTTTTCTAAAGCTGGCAACAAGCATTTGCATTTCTTGAGCATGTTGGTCATACATTTGTCCCAACTGTTGAGTGAAGTCCGAAACTGAAACAAAAATACAGTCAGACCAACATCATACTTTACGAATAACATTTATACCGGGTGACCAGTTATATTCTGACCCATTTCAAATGCTTATATCTCTGAAACCATTCAAGTTATCATTGTGCAGTTTGGACTAGTCTATTTTGATATTTCCCAAGTTTTTTTTACAGGTTCACCTTCTCTCTTGAACATCCGGTTCTACCGGAAACAAACTAGCCATTATTCAGGTATAGGGCAACTTTTTTATTTCATTGAATCACCCTGTATATTTTTGCACATTCAGATAGACTGGTCTTTTCTCTTTCTAACAATGCATGACAAGTTATGTTTTCTTAAAAAACTATCAGAGTTATAACTGTTTGAAACAACTACTGCATGTGGAATGGTTTAATGAGATTTTGCAATGTAACCAAAGTCGTCTCTGGAAATCCTGATCACAACACATGAAATGCCAGATTAGATGTGTCAAATAAAGATTGTCGGGCATTTGTACTTTCTTCGAGTTGAAAAAATGTTTACTTTGACTGAAAAAGCAAATGAACTCATCATAAATCTGCATCAGATTTATACTCAATGTACGGTAATTCAGCATTTCAGGATAACATCCTAATATGCAGTAGATGCTTCAAAGAGTTATAACTCTGATAGTTTTCTAAGAAAACATAACTTGTTATACATTGTTAGGAAGAGAAAAGACCAGTCTTTTTGAATGTGCAAAAATATACAGGGTGCTTCGATGAAATAAAAAAGTTGCCCTATACCTGAATAATGGCTAGTTTGTTTCCGGTAGAACCGAAAGTTCAAGAGAGAAGGTGAACCTGTCAAAAAAAACTTGAAAAGTATCAAAATAGACTAGTCCAAACTGCACAACGATATCTTGAATGGTTTCAGAGATATAAGCATTTGAAATGGGTCAGAATATTACTGGTCACCCGGTATATACGCAGCTCTCAATCTTTGAGACTTAAAATATGGTGATGCATTCTAATGGAATTCTCAATTCTTCAACAAATTCTAACCATCAATAATTCATATAAACATTGTGGAAAATTGTCTTAGAATAATTCTGCTTCATCTCGAATGCGATTTATGAAATTCAAATTGGTCAACCCCATTTAAAATTTGAACTACGCCCTGAATGATTCATTTCCATTCTCTAGCTTTACATTTGCGTCCACCATCTTAATCCGAACCATTATTGCGGAAAATTCTGAATTTCCAGGTCAGGTTGAGAAAGGAAACTCCACTAATTCTTGCCAGAGGAGCGTACTCTTTTTCAAGAGGGTAAAATGAAGCATTGTGGAAAGTCAAAAATTTTTATATTTCTATTTCTGATCGTGGCTGAAATCTGACGAAAAAATACAGGGTGATTCAGGTTTTAGAGCACAAACTGAAATGGAAGGTAGGTCTCATCATTTTAATCAGAAAAGTTTATATATACATCAGTTCGATCTCGTTCAGTAGCGGAGCTACAGGGGGTCAAAGTTCAATTATTTTTTTCTATTAATTGAAATATCTCGCTTACTTTTCAAGATATCATTTCAAAATTTGGTGTGGTCGATACTATTCAGAATATCATCATTTCAAGCTATTTCAAGATTTTCAAAATCTACAGGGTGAAACGGTTTTGGGGGTAGAGGCTTCTTTTTCCCCCCACAAACTTTTTCGTAGTACACCTCAGGCATCTCTTTGTGATCAAACTCAATTCAGAGGCTTATTTGTTCATCAATTTTCTTCGAGAAACGAACTGTTTTTGAAATAATTGAGCCTAATTATACGTTCTGGAACATGTTAATTATTTTGCCTATGTTTCGCTTGAATTTCATTTAACTGAAAAAAAAAACCTAGACTTTCTACCCTTCGTTTTCCCGTAACTGATCCAGATTGAACTAGTGATTGCAATTTTAGTGAGTACATTTCATTGTATTCTCAACGAATTTTGTCAAAGAATGAAATTCAAGCGAAACATAGGCAAAATTAATATGTCTTAGAACGTATATGCTCATTTATCTCAAAAACGGTTCGTTTTCTCGAAAAGAATTAGAAAGCAAAAAAGGCTCTTAATTGAACGATCCACACAATTTGATCAGTGAAAGATGCCAGAGGCGTACGACGAAAAAGTTTGGGAGGGAAAAAGAAGCCTCTACCCACAAAAATCTACCACCCTGTAGATTTCGAGAATCTTCGAATAGCTTGAAATGATGATCTTCTAGGAAGTATTGACCACACCAAATTTCAAAATGAAATCTCAAGAAGCCAAAATGGCCTATTTTTCGTCATCGAATCCCTTATCACTCTTATACGGTAGGTATACCAGATTATGGACGTCTCTTCTGAACTTCAATTTCTTATGAAGATAGAGTGGTCATTTCTTTTTGAATATGTTGTAGAACATACACGCCATATGATGACGTCGCCTACTATACATATTGAGCCATTTCAATTGTTTGAGCTTTTATATGAATAATACATCTTGTTTGGACTTACTGTATTCGGCCAGCATCTACTGTATACTGTACAGTACATCGCGGTGGTTGAAGTGTGATAGAATCAATATGCATTCCTCAATTTATTTGTTATTATTGTCATGCCCAAATTCTTATGTGAAGATTCAATACTTATTTCCCTATCACCTATTTTCAAGGTGATTTGATTATTCAATGAATGTGATAAATTTCCTTCGCCAAATATCATGGCATCGATACATGAAATCATTACTGAATTCAGTGATTATTACTATTACTGTTATATAAAAATTGATATTTCTCTGCATTTCGAATGCTTCATTGTTTTATCAATTCTGAGGGTTACTTTGGTTTCATAGTGATCTGCAACAAGTGCTTTCTCCCCTTTAAGAGACGTCCATGATCCACCTGGACTTGTTTCTGTTCTATTGTTCCCTTGGAGATTGAAAACAACATAATTGCTCTGAAATTTACATGGCAGCTGCTTGAATTCTCAAGACTCAATTATACACCAACCTGGAAATTGTCGTGCTGAGAAGACAAAGACGAACAGTTTTTTTCTATGAAAGATCCTGATTTTCTCGAATTGAATGAATCAGTTCATTTTTTTCCTGACGACAATTCACTGTAGGTAGAGAATTCTTCAAATTTCAGTGCTGTGTAAAAGGATCAGAATGTTATTTCATCATTTATTTCTGTGTTTTGCATGTATTTGCTCAATAGCCATCTCATTTGATTTTGGTGTCATAAAAGCGTTCAAGTGTGTCAAAATGCAGTACTTTTTTAGGCACTCAGAATCTATCACTAGAAAATGCAAAAAAATCATCGTGAACCTGAAAATTTCACATAAACTTGTATTTTTTTAATGGATCGCCCTATATTTTATATCTCTAATCGATATAGACCTAGCTCTTTCCCCTGATTTCCAATATACAGGATGATTCAGGTATGAGGCACAAATTGAAATGAGAGATAGATCTCATCATTTCAATAAAAAAAGTTTACATAATCATCAGTTCGATATCGTTCAGTTGAAATATCTCGCTTAATTTTTGAGACTCAATACTCAAACTTTGCTTCAGAGTATCAGATGAGTTTCTAGACATCATACGGTCTCTGAAGAAGCCGAAGAGAACATTCCCAGAATACAATCAAAGTGAAAGATAAGCACTCCCAGTGTTGTAAGAGTCACATTATACTTCTTGGCTATTTGAGTTGGAGAATTGATCCATTCCTTTCATATCGACTGAACTAGATTTACCGTTTTCTCTCTCCAAATCTGGGTCTGAAACCTCGTATCCACACAAATCTTATTCAATTCGATTTGCTAACAAACAATAGGAGATATTTCTTCTTGGATTCACGAGGAGGGAGATTTCCTGAATTTAAACATAAACGTAGATCGTGTTGGTATGGATACAGAGGCTGACCATGATTTTTTACATACTTTTTTGTTCACACACTGCTGTATGGATTTTGAACTGCAATCAATGTACCAGTGATATGAGAAACAATTATCGTATTTTCAAATTCTTCAGAAAATAGGTCTTCACACCATTCTAAGGGTTTCAGGACATCCATTAAGGAGTAGAAGGACATGAAGTAGCAGGCACCTGGCTAGGGTAGGAGCAGCATTACTGTATCAGAATGAACCAAAAGGAAAGAAACCCAATAGTGATCATTGATATCTGGAAAAATCTTCAAGATATCAGACAGGCTAAGATACTACTCGGACATATAGCCACAAGAGATCGAACGCATATGCCAGCCTAAGCAAAAATAAACCTCATATTCTTATATTCCAGTCACTTAGTACATTCAACCTTGCATGGTTTGGAGTAGTAGGTTTCCTTTAATGATATTGTTTGAAATAGTACAGTACGGCGTTTTTCCGGATCACCGCTATATCACGTTCAAAATGCTGAACATTTGCACTTTATCCAGATTTTGCCATTTTTGACCATGAAGGAGTAGTTTCCCAACAAAAACACTTTCATTCATCAATTGAGTTGATGAAATGATCTATATTAAGCTGAATATGAAAGTTGGTCACAAAAAAGTCTCATTTAATGAAAACCAAAGACTCAAACATAGTGGGTACATGAAATTGTGAATTCCTGGTCCAGTTCTAGCTCTTGAGGGCCCTGAGGATATAGGAACTTTTCACCCAATACAAGGTCATCTAGTAAGGCGATATCAGAAGTTTCCATAATGATCTCTGCTCAATTCGATTCAAGCCTGCTTTTCCAGCAGAATGCATGTAATTCCCACATCCTCTCTTACAGTTGCAGGAAATGATCTGCATGGGGTGTGAAGAAGCCACATCCCTTGAAATCATTACTGAAGAAAGGCCATGTTCTCTTGAAGTCTATGGGCGTGTACACCTTAGTAGAACTTTCAACTCAAACCATCTTTATAATGATACTTTTATACAACAATAATGATTGACGACATAATTCGATCGATAAATTAACTGGAATGTTTTATTTTTGGACATAAATAATAGTACCTTCTGAAAACGGACCCTCTTATGAC